GCTGATGTTATAAGTTAGTTATAATGTCTATTGTAGTCAGTAATGCTACTGTTGATACTTCATGTACAACTGGTAATGTTAGATTAGTTGGTGGTCCCAATGAGTATGAAGGAAGAGTTGAAATATGTTATAATCAAATGTGGGGAACTATTTGTGATCATTCCTGGGGTACAACTGAAGCTAATGTTGTTTGCAAACAGCTTGGCTATCAGATGACAGGTATTAATCTCTAACATTCTTTTCTCCTTTATATTATTTGTACTGCATGTAGGATCAGTATCATTGCGTGGCAGTTACTATGGACATGGGAAAGCTCCATTTGTTATGGGTGATATGTATTGTTCCAGTAGTCGCAGCTCACTGTTAGATTGTGATCATTACTTTGCAAGTTACAATACTCTGTATTGTGGTATAACTAATGCAGCAAGTGTTGTATGTTTAGGTAGGTATTATAACTAAACATCTTATTCACCTTTAATTAATAATAATAGAATCCTGTAATGATGGTGATGTAAGACTGAGTGGATCATCAGTGACATATGCTGGTCGTGTTGAACTGTGTGTTGAGAGAACATGGACTACACTGTGTGATCAAACATGGGACTTTAATGATGCTGCAGTGACTTGTAGACAACTTGGATACTCTTCATATGGTTAATGCAGTTAGTACCAGTATTAATTAATGTTAATGGCCCTTGGTGGGTCGACCCCTGACACCTTTAAAGGAGGGGGCGCTGATTGGAGTTTCCATGGAAACCCCGTGCCTGAGCTCAAAACAAGGACATTGACCTGGCACTTTTTTCACTGTGACCTAACATGCAGAAATGGGCTGTGTCAGCCAGGTGGGAGCACTCCCACATGCATGAGCAAGCAGTCACACAGCAGTAGTTAGCTGGTACAGCTTACAGCTTGCCAGGTCCAAATCCTGCTATTGAGCCCCAACATGGTGGCATTTTGGGAGTGAATGATAGCATCATCCTCCACTATGGGATTTCCAATGGATATCACGCTCAAGAGCGGAGAGAATTGACACAAAAATAATTAAATAAATAAATCAATAAGTTATGAGAAAAAAAAAAAAAAAAAAAAAAAAAAAAAAAAGAGGGAGAGAGTGAGAGCAAGATGCTGAAGTTGGTGACAAGAAGACTCGATGATAAGATGGTGCTGACAAGACCACGTGCATCAGGCAGTACGCATGCGCGTTTCCCACCCAAGCCATTAACTCTGTTTAAAGCAGAGCTTTAAACAATTATTTAATGGCCCTTGGTGGGTCGACCCCTGACACCTTTAAAGGAGGGGGCGCTGATTGGAGTTTCCATGGAAACCCCGTGCCTG